GCGCGGGCTTGGCGGTGGCAAGCTTGGGGAAGCTGCACGGGTGCTTCCTCCCCCGGCTTTTCATTTTTCCACCCAGAAAAAGCCTGTCGAGCTCCTGTTTAATCGACGGCCCATGAGGTTACTTCGGTGCCAGCAACAGAGGCTCTTCCAGTGCACGGAGGCAGCATCTGCTGCCCATGTTGCCTTAGGAAGGAGCAGCGCACACTCAAATTCTTTTAAACTTTGATGAGCATGTGCAGCAAAAACTGCACTTCTCGCTGCTTTTGGCAGACATCTATAGCACAAAACGGGATCTGCTCATTTACATCAACGTGCACATACTTAAACTCCCCATTTTTGCTCTTTTAATGCACACCGGATCAGCAGCATGTAGTGATATATGCATAGGGCAGATGATGAGAGATGGGAAGAGTTTGGACAAAAAACAGCTCTGGTATTAGTGTAATGTGACAGTTGTTTTCCTGCTACGTTGTTGAAACAGCCACGTTGATAATTTGTCCCAGCGGTGGAACCTAGAACATCCATGTATCTTCAGGATTACTTTTTTTTTTTAGTTAAAAATAGAAAGACTGGAGAGGCATCCCTTGAGTGGGTTTGGCCTGGTATGTGAAGGCAGAGATTGTCAACATGCGTCCCAGAGGAACTGTGTTATAACACAGAGTGCAGTGTCATTTGGGAGCTCGGCTGATAAACCGCCCGATGTCTGCCTGTGTAAGACGCAATGGGGAAAAAAAAAAAAAAAAAGAATTGAGATTTGGGACAGAAGGGAAGGGTGGGATGTAAAGGTCAAGAGGGGAACACTCAGTAAACTGGATCAACAACACAGGTCCTGTTTGTTGGACGCCATACAAGGGCTGGCAGCCATCACAGGGTTATATGCATCTTAAATGAGGTTGTAGTTGTATAGTTTGCAAATGCAACCCAACCTGCAATTTGGGGGCTTGGGAGGAAGGGGGGTGTTGGTCTAAGAGCTGTCTTTGCACCGTGGTTTGGCTCTGACGAAGGGTGCAGGAACTGGAGATCGCCGACTACTCATTTCCCAACTGTATCCAAAGGGGGCGTCAGAGATGCTTCGACTTTAATTTCTTCTGAAATCCGAGATAGGGGAATCAGTTTCCTGGTTTCTAGCACAATTAATGAGGTGGTTAGCTCCACCCCAGCCCCAGTTTATCTTGGGGTTGTGCCCAATTATGAGCACAACTCTGAAGCAGATGTAGCAACAAACTTCTTGGCCATTGATAGCTCCTGCTTTTCTTTAAATGCCTTGAGGAAAGACGACCTGTTTCAGGTGAGACACTATTTGTGTATAAAGGTGTGTGCATGTGTATTTCATATATGCGTATATATAAGTATAGATGCACATATATATTATATATGCATGTATGTATCTGTGTATATATACACGTATGTAGATATTACTCTTTTTTTCTTAGCTACCTAAAAAAAGAAAGTGTAGGACTGTGAAATACAGTGACCTCAAAAGGTCAAAGCAGGGAAAGACTGAGCTTCAGCGCCCCTGCTCTGGACAAACTTTGGCTCTTAGTTTTCGTGGTATTGATAAAAAAACCACCGAAATCAATACTGGTGGGATAAGGAGCCCAAGTGAGTAAATATTTCTCTAAATCAATTAGGCACACGCAACAGAGAGAGTTGGAAATATTTTGGTGAAAGCGATGCCTGTTTATATTAGAATTCATATATAAGCAAGGATGCATAGGGTTATACACACTGGCAGAGTACCATTTCAAAGGAAAAATACTTTATCATATGCCGCTTTCAATTTTAAAAAGTCAGCATATTTTACTTCATGGTAAATTGCCATATATAATTTCAATCTGCTTCTTTTTTTCTCTAGCACATCTTTTCTACAGAAACCATATAACGTGAGGGCTTGGCCAGCTTCTCCGGCACTAGAGATTAGTTTACAGTGTTATCTCAGCTGTTCCTGGGTTCAGAGGTGTTACAGTATTTACATAGAAGCCTGCTGCTGATAGCTGCATTGAATTCCTCCCCAATCAGACCCTCCCTGTCACATCCTACATTCCCCTTGGCTAGAGAGAGAGAGAAAGACTGCTGAAACGGAGACAGAGCCAGCTCTCGCTGCAAAATCTACACAAAACAGTCTGCATTTTCTTGTTTCCTTTACAACTAAATACTGGCTTTCTCTACCCTTTCCTCAAGTGTTAAATTTCTAATCCAGCAGGACTCACATCTAGGATCCTGATGCACTCGAGAGCTCATCAATCCCCCACTCCCTTATATTGCAAGGTCAAATGAAAAGGGCACCACACAATGTACATAAATCCAAAATTGCATCTGCTTCCTCGTAGCCATTCAAAAAGTACCCAGCTAAACTTGTTCTTTTGGCCAAAATAATTCTTTTTTTTTTTCTGCAATAAAGCGATATTACAGCCTCAAAGAAACCAAACAAGGAAACAAAGAAGCAAAAACCTGCTGAAGTGTGTTATGCAATGTCATCTAGAAGAAAAATACTCCAGCGCCTGACTAACCAGGGTCCCCCCATGCTGTGTACACTTCTCATGACCTAGCTTTGGGAGTGACCCCAGAGACAAAGGGAACACTGGCACTATGGAGTATTGGGGGAGCAGGCGGATCTGCAGTGGACATGATCTGCACATGCTCTAAACCAGCCTGAACAGATAGGAGCATGAAGCCTCAATGTGTACACAATATTAATGGGGCAGCAAAATAATACGTATATATATGACACATGCACATGGGTAAAACTGGATGTATTAACCAACAAGACACTGTTGTGACTGCAACAAAAATCAGAACATGAGTTCTTA